GGAAATTCCCAGATTTCCTTCCATCCCGGTTTTTGTGGAGCTCCGGGGAAGCTCCCGAGGGAATCCTGGGAATCCCAAATTCCCAAATCCCTCGGGAGGAATTCCCGGCATATTCCGGCCCCTCACTCCTGGTTATCCGGGATCCGGAATTCCAGAGGGAGCAGGAGCAGGAGAAATCCTGGGAAAGCTCCGGAATTGCCGGGGAAAATTCCAGAGGGAATTCCAGAGGGAATTCCAAAGGAAATCTAGAGAGAATTCCAGAGGGAATTGGGGTGATTCCAGTCCCGATTCCAGAGAGAATTGCAGAGGGAATTCCCCAGAAAATTCCAGGAGAAATTCCAAAGGCAATTCCGAAGGTAATCCAGAGGCAATTCCACAGGTAACTAAGGGAATTCCAGAGGGAATTCCAATGGGAATTTCAGATGCAATTCCACAGGCAATCCAAAGGCAATTCCAGAGGCAGTTCCAGAGACAACAGAAGGAATTCCAGAGGGAATTCCAGCGGGAATTCCAGAGGCAGCTCCAGCTCTCCCCCAGCATTCCCAGTCCCCACCCCCTGACCGAAGCCGGGATTCTCCTTGGAAATCCCCCAGGAGCTCCGATCCCAGAATTCCTACCAAACATCCCCGGAATTCCCAGCAAACGTTCCTGGAATTCCCAGGAAACATTCCCACCAAACATTCCTGACATTCCCAACAAACATTCCGGGAATTCCCGCCAAACGTTCCCATCATTCCCACAAGTCATTCCCAAGATTTCAACCAAACATTCCCACCAGACACTCCCAACATTGTCACCAAACATTCCCACCAAACATTCCCGAAATTCCCACCAAACATTCCCGGAATTCCCACCAAACACTCCTGGAACTCCCACCAAAGATTCCCACCGCCCCTGGAATTCCCGGAATTCCGTGACTCCCACCGGAGCTCCTCCCTCTGCTCCTGCAGCTGCAGCCGGCGCCGCATTCCCACCAAACATTCCCAACATTCCCACCAAGCATTCCCACCAGACATTCCCAACAAACAGCCCTGGAATTCTCAACAAACTTTCCGACCAAACATTCCTGGAATTCCTGGCATTCATTCCCACCGGAGCTCCCCCATCTCCCTCTCCCTGCGGAGCTCCTCCCTCTGCTCCCGGCGCTGCTCCTGCAGCTCCAACCAGCGCCACATTCCCACCAAACATTGCCAACATTCCCACCAAACAACCCTGGAATTCTCAACAAACTTTCCCACCAAACATTCCTGGAATTCCCAGCATTCCAAGATTCCCACCGGAGCTCCTCCATCTCCTTTTTCCGGCGGAGCTCCTCGCGCTGCTCCCAGTGCTGCTCCTGCAGCTCCATGCGGCGCTGCCACCAAACATTCCCAACCAGACATTTGCTCCTGCAGCTCCATGCGGCGCCGCCCTCGCTCCTCGCGGTCGCGGCATTCCCGCTCGGCCGCCAGGTCCGGGAAGCGCTCCACGCGCGTGCGCTCCAGGCGCCGCAGCTGCTCCGCCGCACGCCGCTCCACCGTCACCGAGCGCACCTGGGAAACCGGGATAAACCGGGCTTGAACCGGGACTAAACCTGGGACTAAACCGGGATTGAACCGGGATTGAACCAGGATTGAACCTGGGCGGCTCCTTTCCCGCTCCCCCCCCCCCCGCCGCTCCACCGTCAGTGAGCACACCTGGGAAACCGGGATAAACCGGGCTTAAACCGGGCTTGAACCTGGGACTAAACTGGGATTGAACTGGGATGGAACTGGGATTGAACCTGGGACTAAACCGGGATTGAACCGGGATGGAACCAGGATTAAACCAGGATTGAACTGGGAATAACGGGAATTAAACGGGGAATTGGGAGTGTGCTGCCCCCCCCCCCGCCGCTCTACCGTCACCGAGCGCACCTGGGAAACCGGGATAAACCGGGCTTGAACCGGGACTAAACCTGGGACTAAACCGGGATTGAACTGGGATGGAACTGGGATTGAACCGGGACTGAACTGGGAATAACGGGAATTAAACTGGGAATTGGGAGTGTGCTGCTCCGCCACCCGCCGCTCTACCGTCACCGAGCGCACCTGGGAAACCGGGATAAACTGGGTTTAAACCGAGTTTAAACCTGGGACTAAACCAGGATTGAACCTAGGACTAAACCGGGATTGAACCTAGGACTAAACCGGGATTACACCAGGAATAACGGGAATTACACTGGGAATTGGGAGTGCGCTGCTCTGGCGCACGCTGCTCCAATGTCACTGAGCACACCTGGGAAACCGGGATAAACCGGGCTTGAACCCGGGACTAAACCACGATTGAACCGGGATGGAACCGGGATTAAACCAGGATTGAACTGGGAATAATGGGAATTACACTGGGAATTGCCAGTGTGCTGCTCCACCGCATGCCGCTCCACTGTCAGTGAGCGCACCTGGGAAACCGGGATAAACCGGGCTTGAACCCGGGACTAAACCACGATTGAACCGGGATGGAACCGGGATTAAACCAGGATTGAACTGGGAATAATGGGAATTACACTGGGAATTGCCAGTGTGCTGCTCCACTGCCGGCCGCTCCATCATCAGTGAGCGCACCTGGGAAACCGGGATAAACCGGGCTTAAACCAGGATAAACCGGGATTGAACCTGGGACTAAACCAGGATTGAACCTGGATTGAACCAGGATTGAACCAGGGATTACACCGGGAATTGGGAGTGCGCTGCTCCGCCGCACGCCGCTCCACTGTCACTGAGCACACCTGGGAAACCGGGATAAACCGGGCTTAAACCTGGCTTGAACCTGGGACTAAACCAGGATTGAACCGGGAATTACACTGGGATTAAACCAGGAATAATGGGAGTTAAACTGGGAATTGCCAGTGTGCTGCTCCACTGCCGGCCGCTCCACCGTCAGTGAGCGCACCTGGGAAACCGGGATAAACCGGGCTTAAAACGGGATAAACCGGGATTGAACCTGGGACTAAACCGGGATTGAACTGGGATGGAACTGGGAATAACGGGAATTAAACTGGGAATTGGGAGTGTGCTGCTCCGCCGCCCGCCGCTCCACCGTCAGCGACCACGCCTGGGATTAAACTGGGAATTGAACTGGGCAAAGCGGGAATTAAACCGGGAATTGGGGTTCTGCTCCACCACCAGTGTGTGCACCTGGGATTCCTGGAAAAATGGGAATTAAACTGGGAATTCCAAGGAAAAAGAGGAAAAAAAGGGAATCGGGGGTGTGCTGCGCCACTGATGTCACGCGCGCCTGGAAAAGCGGGAATTCCAGGGAAAAAACTGGGAACTGGGATCAGCAAAGGCCCCGATCCCAGTTTGTGTGGGAATGTTGGGAACTGCGGGAAAACTGGGAATTGTGGGCAAACCGGGAATTGTGGGAAAAGCGGGAATGGGGGCGGTCCCAACGGGAGCCACGTGCCGGTGCTGCTCCCTGCTGGCGACGGTGGGAATTGCGGGGAAACCGGGAATGCGGAATGTTCCCAACGGGAAAAACGTCCCAGTCCTGGTTCGTGCTGGGAATCGTGGGAAAACCGGGAATGCGGAATGTTCCTGATGCTCCCATTCCCGGATTCCCAAGGTTCCCACTCCCAGATTCCCAGTAGTCATTCTCGGACTCCTGAGGTTCCCATTCTGCATTCCTGCTGTTCCCATTCCCAGACTGATTCCCGTGGTTCCCACTCCCCATTCCCACATTCCCATTCCCAGAGTCATTCTGGTCTCTGTCTCTCATGTCCCGGGTGGAAGCCAATCCGTTCCCATTCCTGGATGGATTCCCGCTGTTCCCGTTCCCAATTCCCGCTGTTCCCGTTCCCAATTCCCGCCGTTCCCATTGCTGCACTCCCATTGTTCCCATTCCCAACTCCTGTTGTTCCCATTCCTAGATTCCCATTGCTCCCATTCCCGCTCTTCCCATTCCCCCATTCCCTCTGTCCCCATTCCCAAATTCCCAGATTCATTCCCGCTGGTTTCTCTCTCACATCCTCGTGCTGGTGGAAGGCAATCTATTCCCATTCCCAAATTCCCATTGTTGCCATTCCCATTCCCACATTCCCGTGTCCCCCTCCCATGTCCTTGTGCTGCTGGAAGCCGATCTGCTGCCATTCCCCTTCCCGGATTCATTCCCAGGTTCATTCCCAAACTCCCACACTCCCATTCCCATTCCCACATTCCCATTCCCTCGTCACTCACGTCCTTGCTGCGGTGGAAGCCGATCTGTTCCCGTTCCCGTTCCCAATCCCATTCCCAGGATTATTCCCAGGATTATTCCCAAATTCCCATTCCCTCCTCACTCACGTCCTTGCTGCGGTGGAAGCCGATCTGTTCCCGTTCCCGTTCCCAATCCCATTCCCAGGATTATTCCCAGGATTATTCCCAAATTCCCATTCCCTCCTCACTCACGTCCTTGCTGCGGTGGAAGCCGATCCGATCCCGTTCCCATTCCCATTCCCATTCCCATTCCCAATCCCATTCCCACATTCCCAAATTCCCAAATTCCCATTCCCTCACTCTTACATCCTTGCTGCGGTGGAAGCCGATCCGTTCCCATTCTCATTCCCACATTCCCAGGTTTATTCTCAAATTCCCATTCCCATCACTCACGTCCTTGCTGCGGTGGAGGCCGATCTGTTCCTGTTCCCATTCCCAATCCCATTCCCAAATTCCCAAATTCCCAGGTTTATTCCCAAATTCCCATTCCCTCACTCACGTCCTTGCTGCGGTGGAGGCCGATCCGTTCCCAATCTCAAATTCCCAAATTCCCAGGTTTATTCCCAAATTCCCATTCCCGTGTCACTCACGTCCTTGCTGCGGTGGAAGCCGATCTGTTCCCGTTCCCATTCCCAATCCCAAATTCCCAGGATTATTCCCAAATTCCCATCACACTCACGTCCTTGCTGCGGTGGAAGCCGATCTGCCCCACGTCCATGTCGGGCGTTTTGCGCAGGTTGCTCCAGGGCGTGTAAACCACCGTCACCGAGCTCAGCTTGCAGCCTGCAAAACGGGGCAAAAACCGGCAAAAACGGGCAAAAACGGGTTAAACTGAAATGGGGAAAGCACCGTCAGCGAGCTCAGCTTGCAGCCTGCAAAACGGGGCAAAAACCGGCAAAAACGGGCAAAAACGAGTTAAACTAAAATGGGGGAAAGCGCCGGCACCGAGCTCAGCTTGCAGCCTGGAAATGGGGCAAAAACCGGCAAAAACGGGCAAAAACGGGTTAAACTAAAATGGGGGAAAGCGCCATCACCGAGCTCAGCTTGCAGCCTGCCAAAACGGGGCAAAAACCGGCAAAAACGGGCAAAAACGGGTGAAAATACAATGGGGAAAGCACCGTCACCGAGCTCAGCTTGCAGCCTGCCAAAACGGGGCAAAAACCGGCAAAAACGGGCAAAAACGGGTTAAACTAAAATGGGGGAAAGCGCCGTCACCGAGCTCAGCTTGCAGCCTGCCAAAATGGGGCAAAAATGGAGAAAAATGGGCAAAAATGGATAAAAAATGGCTAAAAAGGGGTAAAGCACTAGCACTGAGCTCAGCTTGCAGCCGGAAAAATGGGAAAAATGGGGAAAAATGGAAAAAAAATGGGAAAAATGGGGTAAAGCACGGTCACCAAGCTCAGCTTGCAGGCTGGAAATGGGGGAAAAATGGGAAAACATGGGGAAAAAATGGGGAAAACTGTTTATGTGGGAAAAAATGGGAAAAATGGAAAAAATGGGATAAAATGGGGTAAAGCATGGTCACCAAGCTCAGCTTGCAGGCTGGAAATGGGGGAAAAATGGGAAAACATGGGGAAAAAATGGGGAAAACTGTTTATGGTAAAAACACAGTAAAAATGGGAAAAATGGGGAAAAAGTAGGAGAAATAAATGGGAAAAAATGGGGAAAGTTGAGAGAAATAAATGATGAAAAATGGGAAAAAATGGGGAGGAACAAGGAAAATAAAGAGGAAAATGGGGAAATAAAGGGGGGAAAAGGGAAATGGAAAAAAGGGAAATAAATGGGAAAAATGGGGAGAAAACAGGAAAAATAAATGGAAAAAACGGGAAAAAATGGGGGAAACAGAAAGCAAATGGGAAAATATGGGGAAAAGAGGGAAAAAAGGAGGGATAGTTGGGAAAATTGGAAAAAATGGGAATAAAATGGGGGGAAAATGGGAGAAAAATGGGGAAAAGTGAAGGAAATGTGGGAAGAATGGGGAAAAAGTGGGAAAAGTGTGGAAAAATGGGGAAAAGAAGTGAAAAATAGGGAAAAAAGTGGGGAAAATGGGAAAAAAGTGGGGAAAATGGGGGAAAAATGGAAAAAAATGGGAAAATAGGGAACAAGTGGGGAAAAATGAGGGAAAAATTCAGAAAAATTGGGAAAATAGTGGGGAAATGGGAAAAGGGGGAGGAAAGTGGGGGAAAACTGGGGAAAAGTGAACAAAATGGGGGGAAAAAGTGGGAAAATGGGAAAAGAGAAGGAAAGAGGAGGAAAAAAATTGGGAAAAAAATGGGGAAAAAAATCAGGAAAAATGGAAATAAAGCGGGAAAAACGTGGGGGAAAACGAGGAAAAAATTGGGGGAAATGGGAAAAGAGAAGGAGAAAGGGGGGGGAATTTGGGAAGAGGGAAAAAAGGGGATTTTGGGGTACCTTGGATGCTGTTGGCCTTGACCAGGTGGGCGCAGTCGCTCAGCACCTCCTTGGGGATGTCGTCCACGCTCTGGCCCTGCCGCGGGGCAGCGACTCCGACCTCGGCCCCTCTCCATCCCATGGGCCACGACTGCCCACTTCTCCCAAGGATTGCCCACTTTTCCCAACGTTTGCCCACCTTTCCCAACGTTTGCCCACTTTTCCCAATGTTTTTCCCAATTTTCCCAAGGCTTTTCCCATTTTTCCCAAGGTTTTCCCTCTTTTCGCAAGATTTCCCCATGGATTTCTCAAGGTTTTTCCCAATTTTCCCAAGGTATTCCCACTTTTCCCAAGGATACTTTTCCCAAGGTTTGCCCACTTTTCCCAATGGTTTGGCCAATTTCCCCAGGATTTTTCCCATTTTTCCCAAGGTTTTCCCTCTTGTCGCAAGATTTTCCCAATTTTCGCAAGATTTTCCCAAATTTCCCAAGAGTTTTCCCACATTTACCCAAGGTTTGCCCACTTTTCCCAAGGTTTTCCCTCTTTTCCCAAGGATTTCCCTCTTTTCCCAAGGTTTTGCCCACAATTTTCTCAAGGTTTTCCCACTTCTCTCAAGGTTTTTCCCTCTTTTCCCAAGGT